TTTATATGAGTAACTTATATTTTCAAATTCAATAAGAATTCTCTCTATAAATTATAATAATATACAAACAAGCAATTCATATTATCAGTATATAGATCATATTCAAAATTCTAAAAGCTTATCTAGTACTAACAGGTATTACACAATATCACTATTAGAACTTTTATATTTTAATACCTGTCTAAGGACAATGATTATATGTTTTCCCCTTTCCAAAATAAATTTTTTACTCATGATTTTAATTTTATAAGTAATGAATTTATACATTCTAAACATTTTGAAGCAATTCATATTTAAATGAATAATATATAAATTAATGTATAATATCTCACATTAAAGCATTGTCCATACTATTTGAGCAATAAAAATTTACATTTTATTTTATATATGTGACACTAATACATAAAATAGTGTGCAAAAATTATCTTATTTCTGTTTTTATCTTGCCTTGTTTATCTCATATGTAAGTGTATAAGCAAATTTGGCAAATAGTTTTAATAATTTTAATTTTTTTCTAATAGAATAATATATAGCCAATATAAAGTAATGTTTTTAAAGGGTGTAGATTATATATTGTACAAATACAACCCCAAATAGAAATGTTTTTTCTAAAGCCAAGTTACATAAAGGTGCAGGTTTAATGGCTTAATAAAAAAATAGTAAACGTTCCTGAGCACTTCCAGGTAATAATCTCCAACCACGTTTAATGTTCAAATATTGAACAATAGCTCGTGCACAAATCAAAACTCCTAAAAATTAAATGAATTTTATATTAATACAAATATATAGGAATAATATCAATAACAAAATACTAACCAAATCCCATTATCAACCACCATAGCCATGAATTTTCACGTGATGCAAGATCAGTGGAATGTTTAACAATTAGAGTCCATTTTGTCAAAGATAGACCAAAACCAGATAGTGCTCCATATCGAGATGCAATTGTATGACAGAAACACATCAAAAGTAAAAATCCAATCCAATTAAACAAAAATGCAACTGTAATAAGAAATTTATATAAAATATATATATTTTTATTTTTTAGTATAAGATATAGCAAACTGATTAAATATTTTAAAAATTTTATCAATATTTATATTTAAAATTTACCCAAAAATGCTGTAAAGAACATAAAATCAGTGCCAAGTAAACCACTTTCTGGATCTCCTTCTGCAGCTTCAGTATCTATAGCCAGAATTGTTAAAGGCCTTGGTGATGTTCTAATATTTTCAGGCTATAAAATGTTAATTAATGGTATAATGTATATTTAATTTTTAGTAATATTATTATTAGTAATAATAATGTAATTTTAAAATTATTTACCATGTGCATTTGAGGATAAGGTTCCCCTTGTAATGTTTTTTCTCGTTGTACTTCTTCATAACTAGGTAATTTTGTGGCTACTTCATACGGTGGTGGAGCAGAAAAATCTGCCTTTGGAGGTGGAATTTCTTCTCCTTCAGCCTATAATTATAATTTTTTTAATAATAATTTTTAAATATATAATAATAAATTTATATCATACCATTCGATTTTCAATTGAAGTTTGTGCTGCAGCAATATTTCCTGAATTAATTATATCATTCTGCATAATTGGTAAAGTTACAGTTAATGTAGGTATTTCATTTTGAGATGATGGTTCTCCATTTGAATTACTGTTTGTTTGTAAAGGCTAAAATTAAGTTATAATCACTCATCTTTAATATATTTCATAAGAATTACACTTAAATAGATCATATTTTTAATATCACTAAAAATGTTATTTTTTCTTAATCCCCAATATTAAGAAAATTTAAATAATATAACAAAAAAAAGATAGTTTTTATTAGACTTAATTTTTTATATGAAATTACTTTCAAAAAACAAACGACAATTGCACAGGACAATGTTTTTATCAACATTTGCATGCCAGTATTCATGCACAAGTGATATTATAATATATAGAAATATTATTTTGATAAATATAAAATATATTTATTAATAAAAAACATATTGGCAATTGGAGACAAATTGTAAATTATTCATTAGCGTATTTAAAATATTGCACATGATAAATATATTATGTTCATCATTTATAAAACATACCATATTATAATGAATATTACTATCCATTTCTGATGAAATTTATATAAATCGCGAGTAAATTATTTTTGATATTTAGAGAAAATAAAAATACTGTTTTTGTAAGTAACGCTTCTTTCTTAGCCAGCAAAAGTTCTTACAATCGATGGCTGACAGCTGGCAAAGCTGTATCGCCGTGAATATAGATTTCTTTGCATTTTCACGTCTATCATTATCCTTATCGAACACTTAATTTTTTCTATTTATTAGCAAATATTTATTTTTTTATAATAAAATTTATAATATTATTTTTAAATATAATTTATATATTATATATTATTTATTTCATATTGTATATAAAAATTATATATAAAAATGTTATAATTTTAAAATCAATTCTGATTGGCTATTCATGAAACAACATTGAAAATTAGATTGTAGGACGGGAATCTAACAAATCAGAATTTTTTATATTACCGGAAATAAGCTATTAAAAATTAACATTATTGTAGTATTATTATTCTTATAAAATGTAATAAATTTCGTAAAAATAATAGGTAAATATATATTTATATTGATCATTTCTTTAATTAAATCTATAAATAGAAATAAGACATTCATTTGAGTCATTGAGTATGTTGGAGGGGGTATTTGGATCACGTCGTCATGCACAAACGACGCTCTACTCGTCAGTCAGTCGCTTGCCGATTGTGAGAAACGTACGGAGGTGTTATTATGTCAGAAGTATTCAAACTGGGTGATCTTGTATGGTGTGTATTACGTGTTAATTAATGAATGTTTGTAATAAAAGTAGTGCAATGTAAACAGTGATTATTAATTAATATCTTTATGGATTTCAGGGCGAAGATGAAAGGATTTTCGCCTTGGCCTGGTCGGGTAAGTTGGAGTTAACTACTAACGGTTCTATGTTAACTACACTTTGCTTGGTTGTACGCGCCACGAAGTCAAACGCGGCCATCATATTTGGCGGGAACATCTCATACTCCGTTTGATTTTTTTAATTGCATATCATATCAATTTAAATTGATATATTTTATACAATGTCAATAATGTTATTATTCCTCATTATATATTTCCCGCCGCATCCGACCTTCAAATTCAAATTGGCGCGCAGGTTACGAAAATATAACCTAAATTATATTCTGCCATTTCATAACTTTAATCGTGATATTTGTAGATAAAACAAAACTTACATATTTACATTACGTACATCCAAGCAACTATTATTTAAATTATCATTTTTTATAGAAAAAAAGAAATTAATTTTATTCAAAATCAATTTTTATGAAATAAATACTTGTAATGATAGCGCGCTAATTATGATTTTCTTAATTTCTAAATGAATTAAATTATAATATATAAATTATATCTTTTTTTGATGACTTATTTATTATTTATTTTTATTTTATATATTGTTTACGAATGATAGAGAAATATGATAAAATTAATATAATTTAAATGATGTTAATTTTAATATATATATATATTATATATATCATTTAAATTATATTTAATAACATTTACATTACATTTGAATTTAAAACAATTTAATTACTTTGAAACATATTTGAAACATTTATAATAAAGTGAATTTGATACAATATGATAAATATGGTTTTGTGAATACAAATAATATAATGAATAAAAATTATATTTATATCTTTTTTTTTATATTTGAAATATTTAAATATAATTTGTTATAAAATATGAATTAAATAATATAAAATATATAAATATTATTAATATTTTTCTTTTGCAAATATGATTTTTTTATTTTATTTTATTATTTAATATGCAAGTATAATATATTTAGCATAATTTTTATGTATACTAATTTCTCAATGACATCTTAAGGTGTCTAATCCTTCAAAGGACTTAAAGAAACCAACAAATACTAAGAAGGGACCAGTTCAATGTATTTTCTTCTTTGGAACAAATAATTAGTAAGTTTGAATAAAGTTATTTATTTTTTCAAATTTTGTAATATAGTTTAAAACTTATAAAAATATTTCTTATAGCGCATGGATAGAAGAATCTAATATAAAACCATATCTAGAATACAAAGATACTCTTGTAAAATCTAGTAAATCTGGTGCATTTAAAGATGCAGTAGAAGCAATAGAAGAATTTATTGCTAATGGAGAGGTAAGCTAAAGATAAAATAAAAATTATAATGTATATGTATGCAATATATATATTGAAAATTTATAAAAAATAATACTTTATAAATATCTTATAAATATATATTGATTATTATAATATTATAAAAAAATAATATTTAAATTATTGTAATAGTTATATAATAAACTTACCATAAATTATCCGTTAACAACCATAGTAATATTATTTGCTATAGGTATTTGAAGATGGCTTAGACCCAGACTCTTTATTCGACAGACTTAAAGAAGAAAGTATATCTGAGAAGAAGAATATAGTAAAGACACCTAAACCTCGTAAGGTTAGGATTGTATTATAATTTATAATAAACAATTTGGTTGTTATATGATATGATAAACATTTTAGTAAATTAAAATTATAGATTATATTTAATAAATTATGTAATGTATATTATATTATAATATATATAATATATATTATGTTATAACTATATATTATGTATATTATAATATAAAATATATGATATAAAATTATTGATTTAGGAAACACCAAAAACTAAAAGATTGGACTCTAGTGCAAGTGAAGTTCGTCGTCCAGCCAAAAAACAACGAAGAGAATCAAGTACAAGTAATAGTAATAGGGTTGGCAGCATTAGTCCTGCATTAAACCATTCAACTCCTGTTAGAAAATCGGGATCAACTCTTCTTAACAGGCCCGCGAATATTGCTAGACCTGTAAGTACATTTTATTATACAAATTTTATTATTTTGCAACTAATATATTCAAAACATATACATATTTTATAAAAAACTTTCATTTATATTTATATATATTATTTGATTATTTATAATATGGACAAAAGTTAATATCTTATTTTAAATAAATACAAAATATTTTAAAAATAGGGACTTACATAAATATAAATATATATATATATTTTTTTTTATAGAATATTTATCACTAAGTTTTATTTATTCATGTAAATAAATAAATAATAATATTATTGTGCCTTTTTTAATTCCTTTCCATTAATAATATAATAATAATTCCAATAATTAAATTTATATTATTTAATATAAAATTACGAAATTTCCTTTATTTATTTATTTTTGATTCCATTCCATTCCATTTTTAAAAAATAATATTTATGAATTTTTTATTTATATTATATTCTCTATATTAATTTATATTCATATATATAATATAATATATATATATAATATAATATATATATAATATATTATATATATATAATATATTATATATATATAATATATTACTTATATTATATTACTTATATTATATTAATATTTTTATTTTTCATTTGTTTTGTTTTAAATTTATTTTATTATAATTATAAAACAAATTATAAAATTTTGTTCATTACCATAAAAAGATAATTATTATGGCGCTTTTTAAGCGCTAAATTAGAATGAATTTAATTATTAACATGTTAACAACTTAACAAAATTTAATATAACAGGTAACACCTCCTTTGGATGTGGAAACAATGTCGCAAACGCTTAAAGAGAAGAACATCCTTCCATCAACCTTGAAATTTGGATTCCTTGGTTTGGGAATAATGGGAAGCGGTATCGTAAAAAACCTGATCAACAGTGGACACAGCGTGATTGTGTGGAATCGAACACAGGAGAAGGTATGTACAATTCATTTAATTATATTATACAATGCTATATGGTAATTACTATAATTACAATGTTGTTCTCCCATTATGAATAATATTTTTTAAAATAATAGAAAAGAAAAAATAATCAATATTCTAAATATATTACTAAATTTTTAATTTTAATTTAGACATTAATAAATTTCATTTATTATAATATTAATTTGAACGAGATTATCTAAATAGGAAAACAAATTATAAATAATAATAATAATAGTTAATTAATTTTTATAAATCAAAATATATTTTTTAGTAAAATTTTTTGCCTTAAAATAGTTATTTTGAACAGTCACGTAACTTTGTACAATTTAAATTTGCATTAAGAAGATATAAATTTAAGTTTTCGGGAGAATATTACAATTGTATAAATTGATAATGATCTTCATTTATTATCAATTTTGTTACTGCATCATCAATAAGATATATATTATCGTTTATTCTACCGTGTTCTATCGTATTCCATCTTTTAATCAATGATTTAAGTTCTATTATAAAAGTAAAAATATAGATATTATTTTTTCCATTAAAATTTTAATTTTATAAAAGTAAAAGTTAAAAATAACAAAAAATTGATATATATTTTAAAAAAATCTTATTTATTGATCGTTCTGCATGTTGAATTTATTTTTAAAACTAGTTATCTTAATTTATAATTTAAAACAAATATTAAGATGATAACCAAAGTTATTTATAATAAAAAATCTTAAAGGGATATAACCATTTAAATTATTAAATATAATTTGATAATTAGCTATATTTTGATAATCGCTTGATACAAAATAGAAAATGTGGAATTATATATTAGTGGAAAAGTTTGAATCTTTTCCTTTACATTTTGAAATTTATGCTAAAATATATATATATACATATAAATATATGTACACGTATATATTTTTTTATTTATACATATCTAAATATAAAAAAAAGAGAATATTAAACAACAATAGAAATAATTTTTCATGTAGATCAAAAAATATTTTAATTTTTTTTTAAATATTAATATTATTTCTCCAAAAATAAATATTTTTATTAGTATTTTTAGCATATGTTCACTAACAGATTAAAAAAATATGGAAAAGTACGAAGCATCCAAAAAAAAAAATTGTGAAATTGTATTTTCATAGGAAGAATTTGTGATTGAAAAACAATGCGCAAATATAGTATGCGTATATGCAAGTTATCCTTCATTTTGCTATACCATAGTATGTAATATTTTGGAACGTGTTTTTATGATATACCACAGCCCAGTTTTGACGAGTGATTGTTTTGATAAAGTACATCTGTAGCCATTTAATTTGTATATTTAATAACTTTATTTAATAACTTTATTATTATTAAATCATTAATAAATAGTCCTATAATCAGTTCTGTGAGTCAATAAATGTGTCTCACAATTCTAAATAACATTATCGAAAATAAACATTTAAGAAACAGTTTAGTGGAATTTGATGTAATTTCGCTTGGACAAACTCAAAACATGTAATTAACTTTTCCTTATTTTATATTATGATATTTTTGACTTAAAAAAAAGTTTAAATTTATAATTCAATTTTAAAGTAACGTATATGTTCGTATAGATTCTGAACATATGTGATTAATAAATAATTATTCGAAGATAACAAGTGAAATTTTATAATAATATATGCAATATTGAAATTTGATAAAAATTTTTAGAATAAGAACTTTTTCAAAAAGTATAAATATAAATTTTGACTTTAGGAAAGCATAAATGCATATCTTATTAAAAATTAGGTTTCACTAAAACTAATTCTTTGATAACGAAGATGATAAGCTGTTTAGAAGTAGTGATGACATGTAATCTTATTATTAGTAGATTTGAATAACACGATATTTTGAAATACTAAAAACGTTAAAAATATAATTTTGAGAATATCAACGTGTATTAAAGTACATGAAAGATAATTAAAAATCGGATTGCGTGAGGCATATTACTATACAACCACTAAGATTCGTATCGGTTACACCAATCACCTAATCCGTTTATTTTTCTTCGTTCGTCACGAAACGCGATTCGAATTCGTTTTTCCGCAATGTCATCCATGGCAGTTTGTTAGTTGTATAACGTCCTATATTTCATTGCATATGCTTCTTGCCGAGTTTGACGCGTTCTTGTTTTCGAGGGATGATAAAATTTTATCTCTTTGAAGTCACTGAAGCGATCCAAAAATAACGGTGGAACACCGCTACATGCGTTAGCTCTTCGTTTCCACGGCATGCAAACGTGTGTAGTGGGGGGTCATGAGAGACGGTTGAGCGGAAAGGAAAGTGAAAAAGATTTGAAAAGGAAGAAAATTGAATACGCGCGCATTTCATATTAAACAAACTTGAAATTTCATAGAATAATAAACAAAATTGCATTTGTTGTTATCGTACGCATAATTTGCATACATTCAATTTTTAAATTATATTATACAGCATAATTGTATAAATTAAAAAAAAGAATTTGATAGTGAAATTTAATTTTTTTATGACATTATCATAGTTATAGAATTTTAAATTAGTTTTTTTCATTTTTTATCGTTATTGGAATATTCTTATAAATTTTAGAACGATATTAAATAAATATATTAATTTATATTAATTAATAAGTTTTTCATTTGAAAATAATATTATATTTACTAATAGTATATTCGGCTTAGCGATATTTAGCAATTATTCGATAAAATATATATACACATGCTATATATTAAATGTCATTAAATTGCAATGTTTAAGAATTACGTTTCAATATGAAAAGCAAATTTATAATTAAATATTTATAGTATTATTTTAGAAAGGATTAATTTATGATTATATTCATCTTAAAATATTAACGAAAAATAAGTTTAATGTAAACTTAAAACAATTAGGTAAATTTTGATATTTTTTATGGCAAAGGAAAAAATTCAATTTTAACTTCTCTGTTCAAGCTGAATAAATTTTATTTTTAACAATTTTTTATATTTTTTTAATGATTTAAAAATATTATTCGATGTGTACATTTGAACCAGATATATCGTCGAATAATGTTGATGTTGTTACATAACATGCATATAAAATAGGAAATAGTCGTTTATACAATTAAAAAAATAATTTTTCATAACATTTAAATTCGTTGATTCGTATTTTTTTTATTATTAAATAGATAAAATACTGCAAAATTGAAATAGATGATATAACAAATTGTTTTCTGAATGCGTTTAAGTTTATAAATTATCTGCGTAAGTTTTCCCAATTATAATGAAATGTCGTGAACTAAACAGCTCGTAGAACATGCATTATCTACTAAGCTTATTGAAATAATGAGAGCCACGATCGGTTTGTCTTCTGCGATTAAATTTTTAATCTTGCACATAGAAAAGCACATGAGAAAAAGGAATAGTCTGATATTAAAGCATTGTTAAAGTTGCGTGTTAATAATTTGTACAGTCTTTATCGTAGCTTTGTGATCGTGATTATCACGATTCTTTTATTTAACATCAATAATTAGAGATCTGTCTCATTGCGCCATTTTAGTTCACCCGAATGATCAAATATTTTAAATAGATCTGCAAGGCTTTTTTTTAGTTGAAATTGATATATCTCTTTATCTTATATAAATTAGTTAGACATTTTCAATTTAAATTATTAATTATTATTTCATTTAAAAATAAAATAATGATTATTTTAAAAATGAAATTAATCTTTTTAATAAAAAGATATAAAAGAAATAATTCAAAAAAGGTTACTTATAGATTTCTGATGGAAATTTTTGTACATATTTGAATTAAAATAACAAATTTGATTTGAATAGCTTGAGATGATAAAAAAAATTTCAGAAATATCACTTATTATCTTCTTCGATACTTTACGAAACAAAATATGTTATTATGATAATTAAGTACATCTTTGTTTTCGATAAAATGATTTTTTTCTTAAATAATTATATATTTATACATTTCGAACAACTTGCGCGTTATTGAATTGGAAACAGTTTAAAATCGCGAAAAGAAAACGTTAAAAAAAGACGTTCATTATTATATTAAATATTTAAAAAATGACATTTATCTAAATAAATAGTTCAATTTTTCGGAATTGAAAAGGATGAAAAAAACATAAAAACAATCAAAACACAACAACACGTTTTGTTTCGTCGAACTTCGATCAATGAAGAAATTATCAAAAATATATACCGATCGCGAATTCAGTCTCATAAAAATTGTAGTTTCACGTTTCTGCAAACTGATAAAATCTCATGTATGCATATTATTTACAAGAGAATAAAAAAGAGTCGATCGATTGCTTAAAAAATTATTGATCTTCGGGAAAATTGACAATTAGGCGAAAATTATTATGGATTCATTACACGCGTTAGTTGTTTCTTTCTTTTTTCTTTTCTCTTTTTTTATTTTGTTTTAGTTTATTGGTTTTGCAAGTTTTTGTTTTAGTTGAAATTGGCTTACGGAAGAATTGGCAGTAACACTCTATATCTTGCGTTTCTTTCCAGCGTTTTCTTCATCTAAAAATCGACGTTCGTTATCTTTGATACTGAGCGATGATAACGATAATGATAAAAAGCACAAAGGGCGGACAGGTTGCAAGGTCATCGACCGAATCACAGAAAAATCCTTGGAAACTGTCCGCGATTTTTTTTCTAATGTTCTCCTTAAACAACACTCACGCATACACAACCATCAGTTTGATCGATGTCAATAAAGGGACATTTCTATCCTCGGCGTTCTTCTCTTATCGTTTATAGAGGTATATTGTTTGTTATTTTGTAAAGAAGCAGAAAACAAAACAAAAAAAAATAAATAAATAAATAAATTTTAAGAAGTCCCACGATAGAGAAAAATACCACTGTTCGTTCTTGCGAATGCATTCTCACTTACCGATGTAGAGGCACTTCTATAAATTTTTCTCACATAATAATCCAGTGGCAGTACATTCTCGTCTTAATTGTAATCTTGCTATTATAAAGAGAGGTTAGTACC